TTACTGTCCAGTCTATTAAGCTCTGGAATGCCCTACCTTTGCATATACGTGAGGCACAAACTATTGTTATCTTTAAGCGATTACTTAAAGAGCATTACTTGTCTCAGTCGTTCGGAGACCGTTAGGATAGATTGTGTGATTATGTATTTATTGTATCTATCAGTTTTATATTATTGTTTGAGGAATTTTGTATATATATATATATATATTGATATATACGTGTTGTGTGTATATTTATGTATATATGTTTATATATATGTGTGTATGTATATATGTATGTATATGTGTATGTATATGTATATATTATATGTGTTACCTTATCTTTTATTATGTGTTAGTAATTTATATTATTTCATGTATTACTTAGTTATTTATATCTTTTTTTTTTGCATTTATTATTTGTATATTTATATTGCACCACCTACCACCTACCTATTCATTGTTTGTATTACTTTACACCTTTGGTTGCCTGGAAGAGATCGCTATGTAGCGATAAGGCCGCCAAATTGTACATATTATAATCTGATTTTGTTATGACGTTTGTATATTTGTTCGTGGTGTACAATAAAAGTATATTCATTCATTCATTCATTCATTCATTCATTCATTCATACTAACTAGGCAAACCAAGAGTTAAAAATAAATCTTTCTAAGAAACATATTAGAACGATAAATTCGCAGATTTACATAACATTACCAACAATTGACTTTTACGATAGCAACGGGACGAGATAGAGCCATAAAATTATTTGCGTAGCATTTTCAAAGCATAAAATATTGATCATATACTGAAACGTATACTATCGTAATTTCTTTAACTTCTTTTGACCGTGTTCAATTTTCCAAATTATAATGCTTAATATATGTACTTTTAATGAGCGTTTTATTAGGTTACCTAAAGATAATTTGCCATAATTAAATTATAACGACCTTTATTACGACCTTGTTTAAATTACTAAGAAATAGTTTTTAGTGTACGCAAATTATTTCTTTAAGTTTCTAACTTCGTTTATAGTTTAATGTAGAACAAGGACCTTTAAAGAAATAATACATTATCTGTCTTTTAATAAGATTTATAAAATAGATTATTTATAAGTTTTTTAAAAGTATAAGATTATTTATAAATTGTTTAAGGTGGTAGAGATACGCTTCAGGTATATTGTGGTTGTAGCACGAATGGGTCGGCTCGACCGGGGTAGCACCACGCTCTCACAGAATACCAGCGTAAAATAGCAGCTTAATGCTGCTGTATTTCATATGGTGAGTGTAGTGAACTGCAGACCCTTTTTACTGGAAACGAGGCATTCCATCTTAGTCCTTAAGGGGTGACAATTCATCTCCATTATTATTCTTAATTAGGGATAAATGTAAACATCTATTGGCACCCTTATTATATAAAAAAAGTATTAATTAACATTCGTTTTAACATTATTAATACATAAATGTGAGGCATTCCAACTTAGATCGCCGATCAGATGAAATATGTTTTTTTTTATTGAAGAGGTAAACGAGCATGCGGCTCACCAATTTCCTTACGTCTAGGGTTACCATCAGATGTGAGTCTTTTTTTTTATAGAATAAGGGTGACAAACGAGCACACAGTCCACCTGATGGTAAGTGGTTGACATCTACATTTATTTTCGTTTTGCGAATTTAAATGCAGATGCGTTGTCAGCCGTGAGGACTAAGATAGAATGCCTCTATTCCAGTATAATAGGTCTCCGGTTCTCTACACTCACCATACGAAACACAGCAGGCATTAAACTGCTATTTTACGCTGGCATTCTACTTTATACTTGACCGGATTTTAAGAGTTGAGACCGGCCTCCGCCGAATTTAAAATAGGTCTACAGGTCAGTGCAAGGGCAAGTGAATACCATTTCAAACACATTACTTGTGTAGAATTTTACAACAAAATTTTTGGAGGACTGTTGCTAGTTTCAAGTCGAAATAAATGTATATTTGATTACGAAATAGTTATTGGAGTCTTAATGACAATATGACGTCCGAAGACCGGATTTATTTCCAAAAATCTCAACTTTTAACAACCTGCAACCGGATCTTTAATTCCAGGCCCTGTTTACTTTGAGCTTACTCCCGTTTTAAAAGGCCGGCAACGCACCAGCAATTCTCGTGATGTTGCAGTTGTTCATGAACGGCGGTCGACACTTACCATCAGGTGAGCCGCTTGCTCCGTAATTCAAGAAAAAACTACGGTGTGTTTTCCGATGATCACTTCTCGTCCTGAGCTTGCCTGCTCAGCGGGTTGAGTAAATACTACATTCCATGGTCGTTAACTCTATAGAAAATATAAAAGTGAATGAAAATTACATATCTGAACGATTTCATATATTTTTATAGTTTACTAGCTGACACGGCAAACGTTGTTTTGCCATATACATATACATTATTCCTAAGAAATATGTTTAGTTTTAAAAATCGCGATTAAAAAACAGGGGTTGATCGTAGAAGGGTGAAAATTTGAAATTTTATGTATTTTCATTGCTTAATCATAATAAAATAAAAATTAAAAAATTTGTCAAAAAAAAAATTTAGGGGTGGGTCACCCTTATCATTTTTCATAATTCATAATTCATTTATTGCAAGTCACAAAGTATAAAGTTGTTACAATATGTCTACAGAGCATGTGACAACCCTGTACGGGCGTAGCATATTAAGATGTATTTTAATTGTTAATTAATATGAAATCAAATTAAATTACAATTTATGAGGTACATAATCTATACATTATTATTAATTAATTTATTAAATATCAAACTAAATAAATAATACACACATTTATTTAAAATGAAATGTCAATAAATATTTCATCTTAACTATTGGTCATTTTAATTCATATAAATAAGATTTAAAACTTTGATGAAAATATTAATAATGTCATTTAAGTAAATAGAAATAATAAATTTTGTCAAAATAATTTAAATTTATAATTTGTCATTAAAATATTCATTTAAGTTATAATAGCTAATTTAAGGGTTTAAAAAATATATGTTGGCTGATTCTCAGACCTAACCGATATGTACACAAAATTTCATACAAATCGGTTTAGCCGTTTCTGAGGAGTTTGGTAACAAACACCGCGACACGAGAATTTTATATATGAAGATATAGCGTTAACGATCGTAGAATGTCATCTTGGCTAACCCCGCAGTACCGTTAGCGACGCTTCCCTTACTGACTTAAGAAAGTAACGTCATGACCCTATCGGCAAACCTTTTGTGAGCGCGGGCTGTTTAATTAATAATGGTAATTGCCCTCTTGACCGATTTCAGATACGTTAATTACTTCCGAATACTATCGTGAGTTATTAACGATGTGTATAGAAGAATAATTCTTCTGTATGTGTGTTTGTTAGTGAATTCCTCCTAAACGGCTGGACCGATATAGATGAAATATTTTTATGTGTGCTTGAGTGGGTCTCTGGATTCATAATTGGACGCGTTAGGTAGCGCTATTGTCGAGATAAAGAAATCACGCGTGCAAAGCAGGGCCGGATCTATGCACTATAAATTCTCATAGTGGCGGCGTCAAATCTGGAGTCATTGTTTTTACATCAACAACAACTTGTCTATCTCTTCTTCCAGCTCCACGATCTTCTCGTCAGTTCTCAGGGTGCGTGCGTTATATGTTGCCAGGTCGAGTCGTCGTAGTTAGCAAGTGAACCTCAACCGGAGATTCTTAGCACCCCCTGCCCCGCCGTTACCATGGTCACCACCGTAGCCAGGAATAGCGGGGCCGCCGGGGACTGGGGACCGTTTATTTGTGTCGTTACTCATTTAGGGTATATTGCCATAATTGCCACGCTTGGCAATCGCAGTTTTTTTATTGAGTTTTGCTGTTATTAGAAAGATGCTCATGCACATCTTCTGCCTCAGTTTCTCTCTGTCACCTCTTAAGACACCCACGGGAAGATAATAAGATAATGGGTATTCTTGACCATCACTACACGGGAGCAACAACGTATCTACATTAATTTGATTCATAATCGAGGAAAGATGTAGGTGTCTGTGGACCACAGCATCTGTACAATCTGCCCCTTTGTCTTGCGTATGTGGACTATGAGAAAGCCTTTGATTCCGTCGAAATTCGGTCGTTGCTGCAGTCCCTTCAGCGGTGCCAGGTGGACTGTCGGTATATCGAAGTGTTGTACAGTAGGGCTATGATGATCATCCAAGTACAGAACCAGGGTACGAAACCTATCCAAGCAGAGAGGTGTAAGACAGGGTGAAGTTATATCCCCAAAACTCTTCACCGCTGCATTGGAAGAAGTTTTCAAGATACTGAACTGGAAATGATACGGTATTAACGTCAATGGCGATTTGCCGACGATATAGTCCTTACGGCAGAATCGCTATCGCAAATCGCTTAGCCAATAATGACATATAGATCTGAGACGTGGTTCTTCACTGCTGGCCGTATGCGGAAGCTCAAAGTCACTCAGCTAGCTATGGAGTGGGCTATGCTTGGCGTTTCTCTGCGTGATAGACTTAAAACGAGGATATCCACAGTAGAACCAGAGCAACTGACATATCCCAAAGGATTAGTAAGCTGAAGTGGCAATGGGCCGATCATATAGCTCGAAGAACCGACAACCGATGGGGAAGAAAGGTTCTCGAGTGACAATCTCGTACCGGCACGCGAAGTATAGGGCGCTCCCTCCACTAGATGGAGTGATGACCTGGTAAGACATTCAGGTAGTCAATAGATGCAGGTGGCTCGGGACCATGCTTTGTGGCATTCTTTGGGGGAGGCCTATGAGATCAGTGGACTTGTGAAGGACTGTAATGATGATGAATGATGAGATACGTTGTGACCACTAAGGACTAAGATAAGAATTCTTTGTAACCAATAAAATATACAGCATATGATAAACAGCAGCATAAAGATGATATTCTGTGTATTGTATTTTGTATTAATATCTATATCTGAAAATCTAATATCTGAATATAATCTTAGATGCACAGATTTGTGTAACTTACCAATAAAGCGTTAAAAAGTAGCTGATGCTCGAATTTCTTGACACTTAATATCTGCTGGAACATGTCATAAAGCTGCTCTTTGCTGAGGATGCATTCCGCATTGAGGCTCTGTTGCTGCGCCCGTGAAGGTCGCTTGGTTTCGTCATCTCCAGGAATACCTATAAAAACAGTTCATTCAAAAATACAAAATGGCCTCATTATTTTAAAAGCTCTATCAGTTTAGGTGTAATGTGGAATAATAATTAAACGAAAAACTCCTGTGCAAAGTTTAAAACAGAAGAGGGAGAAGAATTTATTGATTTAATGCATACGACAAAGAATATAAGAATAGTATAGGATATATCAATTCAAATATTGTACTAGTGTGTGAAAGATCTTAATAGATTTTTTGTGAAAAGTTTTAGATGTAAAAGTAGAAAAAGAATTACAAGTATTATTATCAGATTAAGCAAAAACTTACTTTAAACCTAAAAAGTTGCACTAGATTAAAATACAATTATTATAAGTATAAAAGTATAATATATACTTACAGAACCATTGTTAAATTTCAAAGACATTTTTGTAATATTTGATATTGCAATTTGATGATTAGGTAAAAAGCATATTAACGTCAACTTATTTACTATTTTACATATGTTATCTTTTGCTTACATTGACTGTAGAGCCATCTTTAATAAAAGTAACAAAGCGAATATTTACAAAGCCGATTCAACAATGCTTAAGCTGGTATTTAAACACAAAGGCAACACCGACTTACTGGTTAATCAAAACCGACCTAAAATTATACAATATAATTTTTCACTGAGGGCAACTCTCTGCATATTTGTGATGGGGTTAAAATAAAAATGTGTTAATGGGCAAGGAATTTCTACAGCAAGACACAGAGAGCTGCCCTTAGAAATGTCTTATTCACATAACACAACATACAAAAATATATAAGCGAAAATACAAGACACAAGCTGAAGTGTGGAAAACATTGAGGAAACCAATGAACTGACTTCGCGTGATACCTGTTATTCCTGTTCGGGATGTGTGAGATAGACATGTTGTGAAAAAGAGGGACAGAAACACAGAGTGAGACAGACGCAGGCGACATACATTTCCGGGCACATCAGTGGTAATGATATAATTGTTTGAATGTTGAGTACTGACATTTGTCGCATCAATACAATTTTTGTTTACTGCTAATATTGCACTTGTTCTCTCTAACCTTACCGCATGTATAGTGCCGGTGTAAGAATAAACTAAAAAGGGTAATGCGAGTAAAATTTCAAATATTGTTCAATTTGGGCATATCTAAAGATGTCGAATATGCAATTATTGTAGTATTGTGTATTTTAGTTACAAGTTGAAGAGCGGAGGTTCGCAAATTCGTCTGAGAAGTCTTGCAATTTAGCCAAGTAGTGTCTTCTCAGTTGAGAAAGGGCCGCCATCATTCAGCAATAGACTGTTACACGGGCTCTTAATTAATGTATTTATTTATATTTATAATACTACCACAGGCCTTTAATGACGGTGAGAAGATACTATCTAAATATTATTTAATATTGTAGTAGCTTAATTAGTTCGTAAAAAATATTACTCGTATTAGGAAAATATCAAGTTTTGTTTTCATTCATTAATTCATTACAGCCTATCAAAGTCCAGTTGGCAGGTCAGTTGGCAACTGTTGGTTTTTTTCATTATTATCGGTTGTTATCAGGATGATACTGCCCATCTTCAGCTTCAGTTTTTCTCTGTCGCTTTCGTCACCTACAGGGTGATAAGGGTTGGTGGATATTCTAACACCGTCACTATACAGGATTTATTAATTATTTAGAAATTATAAATTATTATTTTAATTTTCTTACTTTGTACAACAAACTACGAAATTAATATTAAAAATGTAAACGTCGGGATATTTTCATTCGCGTTATTGTTGCGAGAAATCTTATTTATTTTTTGGCAATAACCTTATATTATAATCTTTTAGTTCAATCAAAAAGTACAAGTAGAATGTTAAAAGATAACATGTTAGTTAATTTACTACTGTTACTACTAACATAATTTTAATATCTAAGTTAACAAGGGCGTCAAATTAAATGAATTCGTTTTTAAATTATATGGTTTCGATATAATTAACATAACGCAACAGTCTTTCATTTTATTTTTGAAGAAAATTCAAGACTTAATATTGTCTATCAATTAAAGCTGTGTTTCTAACAACCTCCAATATTTTAATGTGAGAGAAACAAATCCCAATTTTTACTCTGTTATTCCAGATATTTTTTAAATCCTTAATTGATAGAAATGGAACTAAAATATTAGATACAAAGGTAAACTATTGATGAACACACTGATTAGTTTTATAACAAACATTCAAAGGCAGGGAAGCTAGTCAATAAATAAGTGATGCGTTACACATAGCAACATGCTCAGTCATTATCTGATGATTCATTCATTGGAACATATAATATACGAGATCTAAAAATTAAGAATCATAAAAACAATTCCGTTAACCTATATCACTGTAATTAATATTCTGTAATGCCTTGATTGAGATAATATCAAGATCGGTTTTGCCTTTACGATTCTCGTCTGTGATTATAGCTATATATCATTCTAAATTAATCAAATTGTTCTCACCAGTTCCTTTCATGATGCAGTCCAATTTTGCAAGCCATGTTGTTAACACAGTTTCTTTACTTAATCCATCTATTTCGGGCAAAGACCTGCAAAAGGAAATTGTGACTGATAGACCGTTAGTAGCGGTTCGAATAATCAAAATTATTACTAAACTGCTACTACTAATGCATATCTCTAAATATTTCTTATACTCTAAAATGTTCAAACGCCGGTAAATATTGTCCATAATCCTGTAATTTATCAAAATACTATTTAAAAATATCACTTAATGCTAAAAATGAATTAGTTACGCTGAAAAATTAATTTGATATTAAACATTTTATAACAATTTTGTTATTATTTCTTGTATGCCTAGTTTTTAAATTGTCAGGTAAAAGATATCCATCAAATAAATAATACCTGACCTGACTGAAAATAAGTAAGGTGTAAAAATTGTTACTATTTTGTAAGTGCACGTTAGAGCAACATGTATCAAACCTGACTCGCTTCTCGATGTTGTTTCTAAAAACTTCTCGAAAGTCGTGATGAGAACACGCTCCTGACTTCACCATCTGCTCCACTCGCTCCGATTTCAGAAATACGTCGTAGTAGGACTGCACTGCATTTTGAAACGCTTCGTCTGCTAGAATCTGTGTTTCACCTTTAAGGAACGCCTGAAGAAAATTTATTTATCAATTTTTTTGTAACAAAATATTACGGTTTATTACTAAATTTATCATTTGTTTATTAGATTATTTGAGATCTTACACACCAATCTATAGTTTTAAGTTTGTAAAATTTGATATCTCTAAATTATTAATAATTTTACTGTAATGAATGCATTTTTTAACCGAGAGGTCTACCTGTTTTGTTTAAAGAAATGGCTGGATTTTCATCAAAAATAAAATATAACGAAAAAAAATTTTTCAAAATATTTAAGTAAATATTTGTTAAAATAAAAAAGTATATACCTGGAATCGAGCCTGTATAGTCTCGAGCTGATGTGGAGTGAGTTTAGTATGTCGTCGGGTCATGTCTGTAGGTTGTTTAGCGTTAAAGGGATGCGCAATACATCTTGACACAAATACGTAGAGCTGCAGACGACGTTTTTTATCCTCTTCTAACTTTTCTATTTTTTCCTTTTTAAAGTGAAGAGTTTTAAATTAGCATAATGTTCTCCATTTAAAGCATGAAATATTTGGTAATTTTACGAACATTATTTAAAATTATTCATAAAAATTATAAAGGTAAAGTGCGAATAATTACTTTATCAAAGAGGCGAAGATGCATAACGTGGAAAATAAAAATATTCAAGTACCTTTACAGTTACCGAGTTAGACCTAAATAACTGTATACGACTATATAGGCTTAATATATAATTTAACATGAATCATACATTTTTTAATTATTATTTTTCCCCCGTCAGACTCAACTACCAGTCAGCTAGACCTGTGCTTTTACCATAGAAGGAGGTATTTGCCACAATTTATACGCTGCGCAGGCGAATTATCTAAAGCATTTGATTCCCAGTTGCCAGTTTGGGTATTTTATATTTGAAATATATACGGAATGGTTCCATCCATGGCAATACCCATGAAATAAGACGCAGTGGTAGATTCTTTTATGCCACAACCAAACGAAAAAATCAGATTTCGACTGCCGCAATCTAATCTAAGCTATGGTATTCAATAGTATGTTAAATGACGATACTGGTTGACTTGTGTCTAATGGGGATTTTGCGCGAATATTTCTAAATGATACTAACTTCTCCAAGTCATATTTCGGATTTTATCTAACAAAGTAGTTAAATCCAACTTCGCTGTGAGAAATTAAAAAGCAATAAAGTTGTCACCTGAGGATCCTGATCTTTGTCGGAGTGGCTAGTACCAGAAGGACTTGGAGATGGCGCTGGTGCCTCACCAGAACTTGCACTTCCCGTCGATGTCCTGCGCAAGAACGATCTAAACGATCGATAGCGTTTAATTGATGTAAATGAGACATGTTCACACAAACAGATATTTTTACAAGTACTTGTGCGACAAATTTGTGCATGGGAATTTTCCTTTTCATTTGTATCTGTGTGTGTGAAGTAATGGTAATGCTGTGATACTATAAATAGCAGTTAATGCACAAGTAATTTATATATATGCTATAGTTTAAGTCATTTTAACAAAATTAAAAGAACTCAGTACTAGAGGTTCAGGAAGAAAAATTTAAGAATAAAAAGAACGTTTGGACGTAGTAATAGGAACTAATCCCTATTTTTTATTCAGTATTAAAAACAAATTACAGCAAAAGTCGATTAAAAGGAAAATAACAATCAAATTGAAGCAAGTAATTATTATCATTGAGTACAAATGTGATTTTTGTACAATTAGGTCCATTTATTTTGAAAAAAAAAAATACTAAACATAATTTCCCCATGTTTTTAATTGATTCATTTAAAAATATATATATATATATATGTGTATATATATATATATATATATATATATACTAGCTTTTCACCCGCGGCTTCGCTCGCGTGCGCTTGAATTTAGGGACATCATTAAATGCTGTTCCGTGTCAAATTTAGAAATATTCGATCACTTTTAGAGTCACCTTCAGTCAGACATTTGTGACCCGAAGTGGTGCGACGGCCTTAAGAATGAACAAAGTGCTTTCGAGAACTAATGACGTCCTCTCAGAAAAATCGGACGTCATGCAGCGATGGAGCGAATTTTATAGAGAAATGTATGCGTGTGATGACCTTAGTGAGGGATCCGGGGATGACGCCGTGACTGGTACGCCAGACCCGGACCTCGATGACACTGAGGTCATCAGTATGAAAGATTTTATACGTGGTAGAGCCATGCTGCAGCTATATTAGTAGTATAGTTGTAGCACGAATGGGTCGGCTCGACCGGGGAAGGACCACGCTCTCACAGAATACCAGCGTCAAATAGCAGCTTCATGCTGCTGTGTTTCGTATGGTGAGTGTAGAGAACCGGAGACCCTTTTACTGGAAAAGAGGCATTCTATCTTAGTCCTCACGGCTGACAACGCATCTGCATTTCGATTCGCAAATAAGGATAAATGTAGATGTCTATGGGCCACAGCAGCCACTTACCATCAGGTGGACTGTGTGCTCGTTTGTCACCCTATACTATAAAAAAAAAAAAAAAAAAAAAAAAGATTGAACGTGCGATTCGAAGTTTGAAATGTGGTAAGGCTGCGGGACTAGACAGAGTTACTGCTGAAATGGTCAAGTATGGTGGGCCTCGCGTCTGGGACAGCTTTCATCTGCTGTGCAATTTGTGCTGGCAGACGGGGGATGTCCCGGATGATTGGCGATCCGCAGTCATTGTGCCTTTATATAAAGGTAAAGGTTCACATTTTGACTGCGGGTGCTATCGGGCGATCAGCTTGACCAGTTTAGCAAGTAAAGTTTACTCGAAGGTTTTGACACGTAGGATGCAAGAGAAATCGGAAAGATTTCTATGGGAGGCACAATGCGGATTTAGACCTGGAAGAGGATGCACGGATCAAATGTTTTCTCTCCGCATGATCACGGAGAAGCTTCTGGCTGCTAACCAGAAGATTTTCTGTGCTTTTGTGGATCTTGAGAAAGCATTTGATAAGGTTGTAAGGAAGAAAATGTGGGAACTGTTGCCGGGGTATGGTGTGGATGGTCGATTGCTAAGGGCTGTGCAGTCTCTTTACTGTGACTGTAAAGCCTGTGTGCGGGTAGGACATGACCTGTCACCCATGTTTGACGTCCAAACGGGCGTAAAGCAGGGTTGTGTCATGTCTTCCTGGCTGTTCATACTGTATCTCGACAGCTGTTTACAGAAGCTGAAAGATAGCTGTTTGGGTGTGAAATTGGGTGACATTAAAGTAAATTGTCTGTTGTATGCTGATGATGCAGTACTTATAGCACCATCAGAGGCAGAACTGCAGGCATTAGTCACGTGTATGAAAGAGGAATGTGAAACTAAAGGTCTCCGTTTGAATGCTAATAAAACTAAGGTTCTGGTATTTGAAAGGGACGAAGAGAGAACGAAGTGTGAAATATGGGTAAATCAGGAATGTCTAGAACAGGTAAATGAAATTGTATACTTGGGGAGTGCTTTTAGCCGGGATGGAAGATGTGATTTAGATGTGGACAGGCGTGTCGCTGCCGGGAACAAAGTCAATGGTGCCCTGACTGCGTTAGTCAAAAGGCAAGGCGTAGCGAAGAGTGCACGCCTTGCAATACATAACGCAGTGTTGGTACCGACTTTGTTATATGGCAGCGAAACCTGGGTATGCCAGAAGAAGCATAAAAGTAAGTTGAATGCAGTGGAGATGCGATCTCTTCGTAAAATGTGCGGCGTTACCATGGCCGACCGAAAGCGAAACGAAGAGATTCGCAATATGGCAGGTTTGAAAGATGACCTTATCACAAAAATTGATAAGGGCGTGCTTCGGTGGTTTGGGCACGTTGAGCGAATGAGTGAAGACCGAATGGTGAAGAAAATATATAGCGCGAAAGTTAATATTAAAAGGTGTCGAGGTAGACCGAGACTAACTTTCGAAGACCATGTGAGCAAATTGCTCGAAGAGGGTAGGGTCAAAAGTACTCGGATACCTAGACGTGCATACATGAAGAAGATAATGAATCTGAAAGAAGCGAAAGAGGTTTGTAAGGATCGTGACACTTGGCGATCTGTTCTCTCTGGCTACCCCGTCAGGGATTGTGCGTGAAGATAAGTAAGTAAGTAAAATACTATTAGACGTAGATGATTGGTAAGATGCTACAGAAACACGTGAATATACTTATAATATGTCTAGAAACTCCTACTTTTATATATGGCGTGTCTTCCGATTCCGATGTATACATAAGAAAGGTAAATAGTCTTGAAATCAAAATGTATTATTATTATTAACATTTTACTCTTTACACATATATATATTTATTTGAGACATTTTATTCATATCATTGGTCCTATTTAATATTGATTGACACCATAAAAAGATATAGATATTTTTATTTACTTCGAGTAGACTTAAAAATTTCATAAATACAGTTCTATAATAATGAATAACACACATGGATTAAAACTAATGTTACGAGTTTTTTACGCATCTTGACTCCTCACCGAATGAAAGCACCGAAGCTCCAGGAAGTCTAAAGTATGTAAACATGTTTAGTATCGTCCCAACCATTATATACAACAAATCCTTGCAATAGAACACCGAATCCTACCAATGACGATTCGCGAGGCTATTGAAATTAAAAATATCATAATTTTAATAGGGAAGATGGCTGAGTGCTACTATCTGCTAAGGACTCCATGATTAATAAAATTAAATTCAAACTACTACTGCATTTTAACTATTCTATTTTAACTATGACATCAGGTCGTCAAACACCTCGGTTCTCCCACCCCTCCCGTGACCATGGGTGCTGTTAATTGCCCAAACCATCGGGAATTTAAAAAGTTAAAATTAAACGCGATAAAATCCTTAAAATTATTTTTATTCCTTATAAATTTTATACACAGTGAACGTGAGGAACACTACACTCATGAACGGGAATAGAAAAATGTTCGCACTGTTGTGGCGGTGAAAGAAAATCCAACACATAATATCGTCCCGTCGTAAGAGGCGACATAGGAAAAAAATAGTAGATGGGATGATCTGCATCATCTTCCTGACAACAGATCAAAATAATAATAGCTGCGGTTGCCAACCCGCCACTATAGCATATATCCAGCTACTTGACAATTTATGGGGGAGGCCTATGTTCATTTCAGTGGACTTTTGATAGGCTGACGATAATAAGTTCTACTCATCTTTGCAAGCCTTAATATTTACGGTAGAGTGAAAACATAAATTAACATACCCGAAAACACGAATGAAATAAAAACTGCATATATTGCCCCATGAAAAGTAAAAAAGCAGCTTACATACATGCTACTACTGGGCACAGGCTGTAGAGTTTTTGGCCAAAAAAAAGTTCGCTGAACTGATTCCAACGCGGGATGAACGTAAGGTAAATGATTCAATTATTTACATCGTATATTGTAGCATTGTATTATTTCATTTTATCAATGTCTTGCCATTTTAATTTATTTAGAAGTAAGTAGATGGCGCTAATATTACATGAAATAATGAAAGCCAAAACTATACCATCTAGTAATATCAGCAATAGAAACGAACATTTATTTATTATATCAAATCAATAAGGGATAAAGTGATGTCGATTCTCTTAAAAGTTCTGTTTCTGTTAAAAATAAGCTATTAGCGCCGCTAGCGGTGAAAAATGATAATGATATCGTCATATGACCACATTATGAAATAGCAACGTTGTGTTTAGTTACTAATAACTTCAAAAGATTTCTATTCATTGATTTGGTCAAGCTATATCATGACACGGTCATCAAATAGTGTTAAATTCACATTCATTTCAGCCATTTTTTCAGTGTTTTCACGAAATGATAGACTACTTTATGATATATGATCAATTCTACGATCTGGCCACGACATACATAAAATAAATATCTTTAATAAAACTATGATGATAATGAAAATTTTGCAACAATTGCAGACCAATTTTTATCACTTTACATATATATTAGTAATTGAAATAAATACCTTATCAATTTTCATATTTTTGATAGACGTCACTATTATCTATTGAAATTATTACACTTTTAAAATAAAATAACAAAAATACTAAAAAACTGAACGTTACAATTTTTTAATAATTTTAAAAATCTAATAATTTAATCATATAAATGTAAGTTATTTATATTATTTGATTTATTAGTAACTGAAGGCAAAATATACAACTTTTTCCATTTGATGATAGATGGCGCTGTTTTGAATACGAAATCGGTGTAGTTTCAAATTATTTTACCTAGATTATAACTATATTTTAAGCCTTATTTACGAATATGGTAATATGGTATTTATTTGAAAAACACCCGTCATTCCGCCTATAGCTAAGATACAACAGAAAATTAACATCTAAAGGAAATTAATATACTTAACCTTCCTTTTTTAAAGTTCCGTAATCGGATAAAAAGTAGCCTATAAGTTGCCCCGGGTAACTGACTATACAAAATTTCATGTAAATTGGTTCAGTAGTTTTTGCGTGAATCGGGAATACACAGACAGACAGACAGAAAGACAGACAGACAGACAAAAATTCTAAAAACCACTAATTTGGCTTCAGAACCCTTTATTTAGTCCCCTGGACTTGTTTTTTCAAGAATATATTAGAATTACAGACACGACTTTTCAACAGATTTATTATATGTAGATATATTCCGAAGTTTATTAGCTCTATCGAGATATTAATAATGTTCAGTGAAACGAAATGGAAGTGGCTTTTAAATTTATCTAAGCAAGGTACTACATATACTTACGCATGCGGAGGTGGAGCGAGTGCAGCTTGTTCCCTCTGCCTAGTTGCTGGATGGAGAGGAGCAGCTAGTGGCGCTGTCGTAAGTGGACTGGCGCCTGTGAGCAGAATAAAATCTCTTGTCATAGAATTAGCACGATAAAATAGATTTTACTAGCTAATAGACATCTCTTTTCTGTCACAACAGCAGTGAATGCACTGCTGCGTTCAAGTTTGAAGAGTAAGAAAATTGGAGAAAGTCAGGAAATTTATTTTAGTTCCTGACAGGAAAACTAAGTTAATATTTCACAATAATTTTCGCTAAATTTCCTATCCTATAATATAAAGTATTTATTGTAGTTGGAAGAGTATTTAAGAAATTCGTAGATGACGCTCTCACAGAACACATATACAGGGTTATTTTGTAATAACCGTTAAATTTGCAGAAAAGGTTCAGAATAAGCAAATGGTGAAGAAAAATTAATTAAAAATATCTCAATAATTCTGTCCTTTTTATCTTTTGAATTCAAAATGCGTGGTTATTCATTATTTTAACAGATGTTACTGCGCACGTACATATTAGTAAAGGTCGATCGGTAGGCAAAAACGTATGCCCATAAATGACATTCAAATTGGGTAATTTCAAATAAAAGTAGAAGCCTTATTTACTCGTTTTTTTGAAAAACTACAATAACGGTTTATCATCATTTATATAATTGAACTTAAGTTTAATATATATATATATATATATATATATATATATATATATATATATATATATATATATATATATATTAAACTTAATTTTTATATATAAGGATATATATATATATATATATATATATATATATATATATCCTTATATATAAAAATTACGTGTCACGTTGTTTGTCCGCGATGGACTCCTAAACTATTGAACTGATTTCAATGAAATTTTGCACACTGTGTGCATTTTGGTCCAACTTGAGAGATAGGATAGTTTTTATCCCGATAAATGACCTTCAAAGTTTTTTATTGCGAATTTAAGGATTTTTATAAGAAGGGTCGTTGGAAAGGGCAGAACAACGTCTGCCTGGTGAGCTAGTATATATATATATACTACTTAAGAATTATAGAACTTAAGTTCAAATATATAAATAATTAGACATAGAAAGATTGATAATATGTTGTATCGACAAAAATCCTAAAAAAAAAGAACAGAAAATAATATTCACCTATAGAAAAAGATGGATCGCAAATTTTCTTTTCATCGTCATTCATTTTCCCTCATTGATTCTAGTTTGCTGGATGATATAAATATAAACACCCATAAAACTTCTATTAGATACCTAAAACGTCTATTTAAACCCATCAATGTAAACTGTATTAATAAAGCCTTCCAATTTTTTTAGGACAACAAAGGATTAAAGAATGAGCTTCAAATAAGCTTTATAACGAGAACGTGACTATGTTTTAATTTTTGGTGTGGTAATATTCATGGTACTTTAACAAAATAAAACAATCTTGCCAATGATAAGTACTCTGATTTAATTGGAAATTTCTAACACAAGATGCTTTTCTGAACCGGCGGTAAAAGCATCATCGTCATCATCATCATTACAGCCGTTTGCTAGTCCATTGCTGAACATAGGCATTCCTCAAGGAATGTCATAAAGCACGGTCCTAAGATAACTGCATCCATACACTTCCTGCATAAATGTCATTTATTTTTTATAATCTATATTCTTTATTCATCATTGTAAACTGTTCTTTTTTTTAAACAGTCCCGCTGGGTTTCTTGCTGGATCTTACCAGGACAGACGTATTAAAACAAACAATGACATCAAATAAGTATTATTTATGGCCTATGTTGGATTAAAAAGTTTCTATTTCTATTTCAATACAAATATTTTATTTATTTTCTAAACTACGAAGGCCCTGGTAATGCAGTAGATTTTTTGAATGGTAATAATATGGCTTTCCTCACGATATTTTCCACACATTATACGTGGTAGAGCCATGCTGCAGCTATATCAGTAGTATAGTTGTAGCACGAATGGGTCGGCTCGACCGGGGAAGGACCACGCTCTCACAGAACACCAGCGTAAAATAGCAGATTCACGCTGCTGTGTTTCGTATGGTGAGTGTAGAGAACCGGAGACCTTTTTTACTGGAAAAGAGGAATTCCATCTTAGTCCTCACGGGGGAAAAAATGTAGATGTCTATGGGCCACAGCAACCACTTACCATCAGGTGGACTGTGTGCTCGTTTGTCACCCTATCCTATAAAAAAACATTCTCGTGCACGTGGTAGGTGGTAGGAGTACCGTTTCTGCCTAGAAGTCCGTCTGGGTTGCCACCACCCTCCAGTGTGAAGTATATTGAATGCCATTATAGTCTGTAAATTCTATCTTAGTCCTCAGGGTTGACAACGCATATGTAGCCTACTATGTGAAGTTAGCTGCAGGTCCATGGACTACAGTACCCACTTCCAATCAGGTGGACTGTAACTTCGCTTACCACTCCAGTTTTTAAAAAAGCGGCCAAGTGCGAGTCGGACTCGCCCATGAAGGGTTCCGTAGCAGCAAGTAACACAATTTACGATTTATGACGTATTAAAAAAAACTACTTACTAGATCTCGTCCAAACCAATTTTCGGTGGAAGTTTACATATATCACATTACGTAATGTACAGCATATATTTTTTTTAGTTTTATCATTCTCTTATTTTAGAATTTTCAGGGGGGGGGGGAGGGTTGGAACACACATTTTACCACTTTGGAAGTGTCTCTCGCACAAACTATTCAGTTTAGAAAAAAATGATATAAGAAACCTCAATATCATTTTTGTAGACCTATCCATAGATACCCCACATGGTTTTGATGAAAAAGAAATTTTTGTGTTTCAGTTCTAAGTATGGGGAACCCCCAAAGTTTATTGTGTTTTTTTTTCTATTTTTGTGTGAAAATCTTAATGCGGTTTACAGAATACATCTACTTACAAAGTTTCAACAGCATAGTTCTTATAGTTTTGGAAAAAAGTGGCTGTGACATACGGTCGGACAGACAGACAGACAGACAGACATAACGAATCCATAAAGGTTCCGTTTTTTGCCATTTGGCTACGGAACCTTAAAAACGTAATAAATCAGTGCTGACTGAAAATTGTGATTAGAAACTATAGTGCCACCGGCAGCGGTTATTGAAGTCAGTTGTTGACGGTATATTATATAATTTTTTATAGATTTTTTAATTTACCTGGAAGCCCAGCTGTGGAGCCACGCGGCAGTTCCGGCTTGCCTCTAACGGATGGCCGCCCGCCAACCAAGGAGCCCGGGGGTACAACTGTGGAACAATTTTAAATATGAATTTATTTTATACTTATAGACATCTGGTGTATTTAATTTTCTTTGTGCCAATCAATTTATAATCGAGAATATATAATATAATTTATAAAGAGAATATGTAATATAATAAATAATACTAAGTATAATTGTGTTAAACTAAATATAATTCTAAATCTTATTGGCCGACAGCCCTCAATGCAGCTGTTTTAATTTTCTTTAATAAGTTCTCACAACAATGTGTACACTGTTACACACATATGGAATGACAAATTAATAACAATAAATAGGTACCATTTAATGATTTCTTATATTTACATGAACACTACACATTTAAATGAAACTAGTTTTTACTCATTTTATATAAAATCTATATAAATTTATTCTATTGAGTTACTTAAGTCACCTGCCACAATTTTTTTTTTATTGACAGCTCCGTGGCGCATTGGCTTAGCAATGAGTTGTTGCGCTGGAGGCCGTGGGTTCGAATCCCGCACGGAACAAGTATTTGTATGGCCTACACATAATTGTTCCGGGTCTGGATGTTTGTCCTCGTGCAATTTATGTTTGTAAACTGCCTCCACGACAAAGGAGAAAATCCTAGTATGGGGGTAATGTTTTTTTAAAGAAAAAAAATTTGACATTATAATTTTCTATAACATCGGACCCAATATGCGCCTTTTGGAATTCTCTTTCGTTACTCTCCCTCGCATTGTAAAGAGACAGCGTTAATAATAAATTTGAATGCGCAACTCCTTTTCTTTTTCATTAAAAACATGTATTGTATGTATTGTATTAGCGTTGGACAATGGTACAAAGAAACAGGGACAATGATAAATAAACACAGACTAAGCCCTTTGTAAATAATTACAGTTCAGCTACTAAATTCTGATTACAAAGTACCTCAATTATTAAGACACGCGTCCTGCCCACCATTGAATAGGTATTTTCTCACTAAATATTACATACTTATACAAATATTTCACCTCTTTTTCAACAATTTCCGAAAAAAGAAGGAGGTTCTCCATTGGACTGTATTTTTTATGTATGTTACTTCGGTACTATTTTCTAGGTGAACCGATTTTAATGATTCTTTCTTTATTTGAAAGCTGGTGCTTCTCCTGTGGTCCCATATAAATTTGATCAAGATCTGACAGTGGTATTTGAGTTATCCTTACTAACGCGTATTTATTTGATTTCGACTAAATTGATGATGTTCTCATTTTATTTATATTGAAGTCGGTTGTACAAAATTTTTAATTTTACCACTTGTGTTTTATTAAAAATTATTTAATCGATGTGTTTTATTCGAACAGATTCACAGAACGAGATCATTGTAATAAAAATTCGTTTGTATAGTGTAATTTTTAAATCCCGCACGGAACAAGTATTTGTATGGCCTACAAATAATTGTTCCGGGTCTGGATGTTTGTCCTCGTGCAATTTATGTTTGTAAAGTGCCTCCACGAAACAGGAGAAAATCCTAGTGTGGGGGTAACGTTTCAAAAAAATTCTCACCACGCCATGGGTTGACTGGCAGAGAATGCTAACTGGCATTAAGTCCGCCCTTTGTACCTAATATTTTTATTGGTTAGAACAATAGTTTTTAAATAAAAAAAATTAAAATAAAATTATGTTAACTTATTTCACTACCTTTCGAGCACTTTACAGCACCCATGGTCACGGGAGGGGGGGGGGGGGGATGATAAAATTAGTTTTATTAAAAGGAAATATTTAACTTTAATTTAAATTTAAATTAACAATGAAGAAACTACTGTTGGTAAATAGTTTTAAACGCCGATAACTACTTCATTTATTAATTATCATAATAATCAAACTTTATTGCAAATAGTTTCCCTGTGGTGGGGGCGTAAGTGATCCATATCCCATTGCATGCCGTGAGTATAAATAACGGTATAAATAGTAATGTTTATATCTATTTTCACAAATTACATAATTTTTACACGTGGTGGAGCCTTGTTGCAGCTATTTTATTTATTTATTGATGATAGGACACCAGCAGTGCACACATTATTACATTTTATTGAAAGTGGGCTTAATCTAGGGACTGATGTGTTCACCCTTTTAGGTGACACAGCATTACAAAATACTATAAAAATTAAGACAGGGCAGAGTTACAATATTATAAAGAAATATGTCACAAATAAAATAAAATAAATAGGTAAATCCAATTGGGCATACCTTAAGCGCATAAAAAAAATTACGTATAACATGATTATACGGAATTTTTAAAGTAGTTTAAATACATTTCGACAGCACTATCGGCTTGAACACCCTCGAAAACCATGAAAATGACACCCATGATGAAAAAATTGGTACCTACATCAGCCGCCATCTTGGATTTACATTTCGACAGCACTATCGGCTTCAACACCCTCGAAAACCATGAAAATGACACCCAAGATGAAAAAATTGATATCTATTGCAGCCTCCATCTTGGATTTACATTTCGATAGCACTATCGGCTTCAACACCCTCGAAAACTATGAAAATGACACCCATGATGAAAAAATTTATATCTATTGCAGCCGCCATCTTGGATTTACATTTCGACAACCCCATCGGCTTCAACTCTCTCGAAAACCATGAAAATGACACCCATGATGAAAAAATTGGTACCTAATTCAGCCGCCATCTTGGATTTACATTTCGACAGCACTATCGGCTTCAAAACCCTCGAAAACCATGAAAATGACACCCATGATGAAAAAATTGGTACCTACATCAGCCGCCATCTTGGATTTACATTTCGACAGCACTATCGGCTTCAACACCCTCGAAAACCATGAAAATGACACCCAAGATGAAAAAATTGATACCCATTGCAGCCGCCACCTTGGATTTACATTTCGACAGCACTATCAGCTTCAACACCCGCGAAAACCATGAGAATGACACCCATGATGAAAAAATTTATATCTATTGCAGCCGCCATCTTGGATTTACATTTCGACAACCCCATCGGCTTCAACTCTCTCGAAAACCATGAAAATGACACCCATGATGAAAAAATTGGTACCTAATTCAGCCGCCATCTTGGATTTACATTTCGACAGCACTATCGGCTTCAACACCCTCGAAAACCATGAAAATGACACCCATGATGAAAAAATTTATACCTATTGCAGCCGCTACCTTGGATTTACATTTCGACAGCACTACCGGCTTCAGCACCCTCGAAAACCATGAAAATGACACCCATGATGAAATAATTTATACCTATTGCAGCCGCCACCTTGGATTTACATTTCGACAGCACTATCGGTTTCAACACCCTCGAAAACCATGAAAATATCACCCATGACAAACAATTTATACTGCTGACTTTTAGTACGTACCTACTACTATTATTTATTTTGTGCTTTTAAAATATCGTAATAAAAAATCTCTTATTATTATTATAATCAAGTATTTAAGAAATTTGGTTATTCGAATATTGTGTATTTGTAGAGCGATCTTTTTGAGCCGCTGCAAACTACCGAAACAATGTCCACTCACGACGGCGACTGAAGCCGAACTAAACTACTCTGTGGCTGTAGCTCCCCATTTACAAAAATAATTTACATACGAGGCTACCAAATCAACGAAAATTTCACCATTTTGGAGCCGAAAAAAATTAATTATAGCTAAACAAAACAAAATTACACTGCCATTTACATTCAGTGGCTTCTCACATGATAGACGAAGAGATTAAAAAATAGATTGAGTTAAACAATTGATACTTTCAAATGTTATCGTGTTTACAAGCCACAGGGACATGATAAATCCACACCATAAGCCACTAAAACCATTTTTTTTTATTTAAAAATAGCAATTAATGGATTTAAAAAAAATATTATTAAGTTCAAAAATCATTTTTCTTTCTAACAATGTACTTTTTATAACATTTATATGTATAATATGATTGCTAGATACGATTTTATTCGATAAAACGTTGGAATCTTAATTTTTAGGTGATAGTAGAACATACCTTGCGCTTTCGCTTAAGGTATGCAATAAATACTTAAAGATAATATATAACTAAGACAATAAAAACATGCACATAACTAGGGAACATGGACATTAGATCATAATTAAATTAGTCACAAATTATTTATAATAGTGATCACTATTACATTATTACATTTTTTCTATATTTAAGGAAACTATCATGAAAAATATCAACTGTAGGCAACACACAACAGAGTGAATTATAGGTGTCACATATTCGCGGTACGGGGGCGTATGACCCCATGTTAGTCCTGGATTGAGGAGTGTGTAACAGTTTTTTTATTGGACGACGAGGGATATTGTATGGTACATATAGGGAGAAATATTGCAGTAGTTCACAGCAGGCAGTCCGTCCGTTTACTATTTCATATAATACCAGCAGGTCGTGAATATTTCTCGTATTATTCAGGGAAGGTATTTCAAAAAATGCCAATCGCTGTTCGTAGGGGCACCTATTTGAAATTCCACTACATATATAAGCTATATGTCTTGTAAAGGCTCTCTTAATACCTTCAATTCTTTGGGAGTGCACAGGGGTTACATATTGTACTCGCATATTTCAGTTGGCTCCTTACTAGTATTTTAAAAAGTAAGATTATAGTGCTTATTTGAAAGCCTCTGGTATTGCGTTTAAGGAAGCCCAGCATCTCCCCAGCTTTCTTTACAATCCTATTAATATGAGGAAAGTAGGTGAGTTTCATGTCCAACATAACACCTAGATCTCTCATCTCACCTACTTCTGTGAGCATAGTACCGTTAAGACAATAAAAAGTAGTGCAAGGCTTCTTTTGCTGAATAAACTTGATATAGAAACATTTTTTGGGATTTAATATCATATAGTTTGCCTTACACCATTCTTCCCGTCGGGCAAGATCATCTTGCAAAAGTAAAGAGTCAAAATTTATTGATATTGCTCTCGAGAGCTTCAGGTCGTCTGCAAACAAGGAAACGTAGCTTGCCTTTAGCGTACTCGTGACATCATTTATAAAG